AGATTGCATTATACACGAATAAATACAGTATTTTTATTAGGCTTTTTTACATTATTAATTTTTTAAGCCCACTTACTTTTTGAAAGGGAAATTGCCCACCCACCCCTCACCCACTTTAAATCATTTGAGGAAATTGAACTTTTAAGCAACATAAAAAGTAAAGCTTATCCAACATTTATATAAACAAAACGATACAGAATGATGCGTTCCATTCTACAACTCCCATCACTTCCCATCATGGAGACTCGTTCATCTCCCCCTCTCTCTCTCTCTCTCTCTCTCTCTCTCTCTCTCTCTCTCTCTCTCTCTTCGTTTGTTCGACTCGTATCATCCAAATCCTTCTGTTTTCCTTTTCATGCTACATCTCGGTGTCATTCCTCCAGGGCTCCCTCTCAAATCAAAGACAGATGACTCATCTGTGAGAAATGAGTATTGGCTGAGTGTGTAGGGTAAAAATAAACCATGTGTATTTCAGAGCACAGCTCCTTTGTGGCAGAAACAATATAGGGAGAACTTGACAAAATCGGAGGGAAAAGGAAGGGCTGAAGAAGTCATCTTCTGGTTTTCTTAAAGTTTTTGACTTGGTCTCTGTCTATTCTTGGGATTTTATATTTATTGTTTTACTTGCAGCTTAATAAGATTTTAGAGAAAACTTTAATGTTGCTCATGTCGGATCTGTGGTTTTATTATTATTGTTGCCCTTATAACACGAAACAATCTGGCATCTGTTTTTTTTTTTTTTGTCTCTGTCTTCCTCAGGCCACAGAGCAGTGTACGTAGGTGTCCATGTTCCTCTTGGGCGGGAAAGCAGACGGCGGCACCGCCACAGAGGACACAGACATCACAGAAAGAAGAAGGACAGAGACTCAGAGGAAGGAAAGGACGATGGCAGAGAATCCCCCAGTTATGGTTGGGACTTTCTTTTTTACAATAAACGATAACAATAAATTGCTCATATTTCATCATTCTTATAGACAAAATGATGATTTTGGTAAGGCAGAAATAAGAAAGAAATTTAAAGAGTTATGGTCAGACTGATTGGCTTGGGTTAAAGCAGGCTAGAAGATCATTGGATCAGATTATCAGAATATAGAGTGAGGCAAGTTTGGCAGCATGGGAAATCAGAAGTGATTACGAGAGAATCTGAGCAAAGACTTGTTTGAAAGAACAGATTTTCTTTGTTGAACTTGGGTCAAAAGCTTCATTATGTGTTTGAACACCGTGGACTCACTCAAATCACACGCACAGGTCTGCTGGGACACCTGCGCCCACGTTCTTAGAATGAAGACAGTTGTGCAAAGGTACAATATGAGTCAGTGACAGAAAATATTCTGCTTAGTTTTCTTTTATGAATGAGTTCAGTTTAAAAGCTTTGGCCCTGTTATGTTTCTAGGTACACTCTCTTTAAATTGTTTGGTTTTGTTAATTGAATGTGCAATTTATGATAAAGTGACTGAGATCACCAGAAATACCAGTGGCTTTTTGTGAGGTAATTTACAGCTGATTTTATTGGAAGCTTCAGTAAAATTAGACCAGATCCACGTAGAGATGTTCTGTAACTACCAGTGTTAACTGATTCCCATAAATCTTTCTACATGTGATTGGATAAGCCTGGATGCATTAACACCAGATTTTGTGCAGCTGTTGCTTTTAAAGCTACTTCACTGAACAGTGGATAACCTAACATAAAGCAAAGCTTTTTATATTGTTTTCTGTCTTTAAAATGCTTCTTACAGGCAGAAACCACTGCTGCATGACTTTCACAGTGCCTAGAAATGCAGTAATTTGATTTAAATTAATCTAATTATTACAGTAATTGAAATGACAGCAATCCTCAGCTTAGTTTAAAAAAACTTGAAATCCTCCTCAAACAAAACACAAATATTAATCATAGCATTGCCTGAGCGTTCTCTGTTTCTGTGTGCCTCAGATTTGAATAAAACATTTATTGCAACAAAGCTTTAAAGGCCACTGTGGAAAAGCGCCTGACAGATTGAAGGCGCTGACATTTAGTGCGATGCGTGCAAGAAGTTGCTGCACAATCAAAGCTGGAAGTAGTACGAGAACCCAAACAATATTTTTAACTCCCTCGAAATGTGCTCAAATTATTACAAAATGGTATTGTTTATTACTGTAATTTGCCATATCAGGTTTTTTTTTTCTATTTAGCGCCACATCAGCTCTCTAATTTGACACATTTCTTTCACTTAATCAGATACACCATCCCAGAGAGTGCAGTTTATCTTGGGAACAGAGGATGATGACCTTGAGCACATCCCCCATGACCTCTTCACTGAGATGGATGAGCTCTCCTTCAGAGACGGTGATGCCATCGAGTGGAGAGAGACAGCCAGGTCTGAATAACCTGATGGGTAAACTGGAACTGGACTGAATCTGTGAAGTCTTTGGAGCCTAATATAGCTCAGTGGACTTCCTACAAATAAAAAGCCAAAGTGCCAAAGAGGTTTATATTAGTGGGAATTTTTTAGCACATAAAAGCACAAGTTAATATTAATATTTTACTTTCATGCACTGTCATAGAATTGTGTATTTAAAACAACAGATATTGACCGTTGACCATTTCCAATGACCATGAAAATGTGCAAATTAGAATTTCGAAAATGAATTTGCTCAATGGAAACACGTCAATTTCGAAAAAAAAAATACGTTTGTGGACAAAATGTTTTTGCGCTAGGATGAGGTGGTATTTCAGCCGTATCGAAATTGGTGTTTTTCCCAAAACTGCAATGTAAACACTTTTTTCGCATCACGGGAGTCACATGATCAACAACCGGCTGTTTCTACTGGCGAAAAAGACGATGACGAAGAAGATAACAGGAAGTAGAAATAGTAGTAATATCACAGAAGTAGTATAAAATAGTAAACTCACCGACTACAATTTCCCAAAAACACAACATAAGTAGCCACTCCCAAGTAGGGGCTTGTCGCTGGAAAGCCTCGATAGAAGACGCCGACGTCTCCTCTGATGAGCGCTAGTGTCGTGGTAGCAACATGCTATGTGTTTACATCCATTGCCGCCATGTTTGTAATGACTTATAGCGAGAACAAACATATTCACGCATGACTTTAATAGCATTTCTTCCTTAATGGAAACACCACAGTTGCGTAACTATGTTTTTTTTTTTACATTAACAGAATATTGACAAAGTTTTGCGCACATTTACAATGGAAACGCAGCTACTGTTTTCAAAGTTCACTTTATTAATTCTCTGTGAAATGGAGTTGGTGACGAAAATTCAGCCTGGAAGACTGCTAACCTTACCTGCTCCTGCAGACCTCCATCTCAAGCTCAGCTGTGTCCAATCGTCGCAACTCAGCTTCGTCCAGTCGGCTCCTGTCTGTCAGTAAATAAAAGCCAGTCACCTCGTTCACTCAGTCTGCGTGCCAGCTGGCCGTTGGCCCGCCACCACCCGTCCTCCAGCATTTGTCTTCTGGAGGGGGCTGCGTCTCGACTGGTGCTTCCACGTTCGGCCGTGTCTCTCCCCGTCCGCCAACCCATCCGGTCGAGGCGGATGGCCGCCTGTCCTGAGCCTGGTTCTGCTGGAGGTTTCTTCCTGATAACAGGGAGTTTTTCCTCTCCACTGTTTGCTCAGGATGGGAGTCTGTGATGAAGTCATTCAACACAAACTGCTGGCTTCTTCTTTAGATCTCTTATGACCACCACCACCAGTGTCGGGCCCCGGGGGGATTAAATCTCTACCCCTAACTTAAAGCGTCTCGTATGAGATTACAGCTTCACTCAGCGCTCTCGTCCTCTGCCGGGGTCCGAGCGCCGAACTCTTAATGCCATTTGTCATAGCATTGTTGGTCTGGTCATGTCAACAAAACTCCTAAATTTCATTCTGTCTCGTGTGAGTCTTTCCAGGTTGAATTCATAAAAAACTTGAAACACGGTCTTTAAACATCATATCTACATTGATATTAGGCGTCTACTTTAAAATTTTAACATGTTTTTGTATTCCAAGTTTTCAGAAGTTGTGCCATTTTTGTTTGGCACTTCAGTGATTGTTTTCTCACACAGAAAGCATGTTCAAATAAGGATGGATTTGAAGTAAAAGTCATTCAGTTTGCAATTTTCTGTTAGTCTGTGCAGTTTGAAGTATTTTGGCTGCATTAAAACAATGTAATTTTAAACTTTTAATGCTTGAATAACTAAAAAAAGTTCCTTCAAATGCTGCGTCTTACATTTTTGAGGATTAAAGTAAATTAATTTCTTCTGTGTGTGTCAGATGGTTAAAATTTGAAGAGGATGTGGAAGATGGTGGAGAGAGGTGGAGCAAACCCTACGTGGCCACATTGTCGCTTCACAGCTTGTTTGAACTGCGTAGTTGCATACTGAATGGCACAGTATTGCTGGACATGAGGGCCAACAGTATTGAGGAAATTGCAGGTAAATTCAATCAAATTCCTTTTTTATATACAGGATTCAAACATTCTGTGTAATTCTATGTTAGGTTATGAAACATAAAAAATGTTCTTAGGAAAACTCACGATGGTCATGTAATTTATCATTCCTGCATGTTTGTCTTTATGTTACCACTTCTGTGTGACTCAGACATGGTCATAGACAGCATGGTGGCAACAGGCCAGCTGAAGGAGGACTTGCGCCACAAGGTGCGGGAAGCAATGCTAAAGAAGCATCACCATCAGAACGAGAGAAAGCTCAGCAATCGCTTTCCTCTGGTGCGCTCCATTGCTGACATAGGCAAGAAACATTCTGACCCATTCTTGCTTGAAAGAAACGGTGAGATCCTACAACGCACTCACATTTCTTGCTCTTCCATCTATTCAATCACTGGGGAACGGTTCTTAAAAGTCCAATCCTGTTCAAATCCTGACTGTCAGCGTATGATGTGGAAGGTAAAAGTGAGCAAATGCCAGAGGATTAAGTTTTTCCCCTTGGTGGAAGAGAAATTTGGGTGCTAAAGTACAGTATGTGCTAACCTGTGTGGCTGGCCTGGCTTTGGGGTTTGAATTAATGATTTTTTACTCCTCAAAGGTGACATTCTGGTAACAATTCCTTACTTGTCTTGTGTGTCAGTATTGTATGTGTTTTTTATTTTTTTATTTTTTAAAATTTCTGAATGGGCACGGCCAAAAAATTTAATGTATGGTTTGCACTGTAAGATCTTTGGTGATCAGCTTGAGGTTTGTTATTGAATGATATGTCACATTCTTCACTTCTTTGCCTGTAGGCCTTGTTGGGCTTGCATTCTCATGCCATGAAAATGCACATTTGAGAGTTCAAAATGATACATCTCCCATTGAAGGTTGGTGGTTGCAACCTTCAATGAATGGCGACAGTGTAAGATGTGACTAAACTTATTTATGAATGGTTTGTCTGTGGCAGTGAACTCGTTTGCTTACTTTGCACTGACATCCTTTTAACTCATCCTCTCTTGCATGCAAGTCTCTAAAAACTCACTATAGTCAGTGTTTGATTAGTTTGCTAGGACTTGAATGCAACACATTTTAGTTCTTGCAGAGCCTCTGATTTATTCTTAGTATCTGCTGTGCACAGCTATGCTTTTAACACGTTAATGCAAGCATGATGCTCTCTACTACACCTCTGAGGCACCCATCCTTCCTCACTTTGCCTCTTCTTGGTACCATTCGTGTATTGTGCATCTACTTCATATGTTTATCCTCTTTGCTCCATCCCCTTACACATTTACCCTCTTCTTACCCTCCTTCTATTCTTCCTTTTCCTCTCCTTTTCTTCTTTTTGCCATTGTTTTCTCTGTTAGGAGAGGGCCTGTCCTCCTCTCGACTCTCTCTCCACAAGCCAGGGTCGTCAGCCTCCTCTGTCTCCAACCTCTCCCAAAGACGAGAGTCAAGAGTCTCCGTTCTGCTCAACCACCTCCTGCCCTCGTCTTCCTACAACAGCGGGCTTTCTTCTGGCCCCTCCCCCCTCAACACCCCGCACAATACCCCTTCGTTGTTTCGCCGTTCTCGGAGCCCGTCACGAGCGCGTTGCGCGGGCCTCGGCCCCCAAGACATCCCAGAGGTGGTCGTATCTCCTCCTGAGGATGACGACCCGCCAAACTCTGCAGAAGAGGACACAGTATCACCGCAGCTCAGCCGGCGAACATCCTCGGCGCTGCAGAACCTTGAGCTGCAGCCCTTAGAAGGCAAATATCTGTGTAGCCTGCCAGTGTGAGTCACAGCTTGAACAGAGAACACTAGCACTAGTAGCATGAAAGCCCTGCTACCTTGCTAACCTCCAGCCCTGCGATCATCTCATCAATAACCCTCAGCAAGGCTCACTCACTAAGACACTGGACTATCCAAAAAGTTTTAAAACTACGCTCTCTCCGCCTCATTAAATCTGTCTGTTCCACTGACCTATTTTTACACAGTCTCTGGCTCTTACTGCCCTCTCAACTTACTGCCGTCTCTGCAAACAAACATTTCCTCTACATAGTTTCCTTAAACAATCCTCAGCATGTTGTTCTTACTTGGCTATCTTCCCTTTCGTACTCCTTTCACTGCAGTTGCATGGCTTTCTCTTTCTCCCTCTATCTTCCACACTGCATCCTGTCTTTTCCAGTTTTTTTTACACAGTTGAAATCTTTTCACATTACTCAAGATATTTCAAATTAAATTTATCAGATGGGATTTCAATAATTGTCAGTAATTTTTCTCATTTTCGTTCAGTCTTTAAAACAGTTTTTTACTTGACTGTTGCAGCATTAGTTGTGTTATTTTCTGCAATCCATCTTTGGGTAGTTAGATATAACCTTGAAATTCCCAGTTATTCTTGATATGCATTATTTCAGCAGTTCATGCTGTGAATTATATTGTTCATACAGTACTTTATATAGACAGTATATGCTTTAAAGGGATCCACAATTAGTTGTAACATTAGACTTTGTTTGATAAACATATATTTTATCTGTAAAATAAAGACTGTAAAAATACTGTAGGCTGTTTAGTTTTGTCAATTTTTTAAAATATATTTTAACATGGATGGAGCCATTTTATTTACACACAAAGCATTCTGGGTAAATGATGATGTGGATAGGTCCTCAGTGTGAGCGAGCTATATCCAGCCTGAAGGTTAATCTTGGACAATATCTGACGATCGACTCTTTTAAATGAAACCAGAGAGAGTTGACAGAGAGGAGAAGGTAGAAATGACTCAGCCTGTAACTGAAAATATGGATGGAGGACAACAGAGCTGCTTAATGGAAGAAGAACCTCAGCTTAGCCTGTTAGCCTTCGCACTAGCAACAACACTGTATTGCCTTATATGTATTAGCTTGGTGCTAGTGCGACAAACTAACAGGCTAACCTGAGATCCTCCATCCATATTTTCAGTTACAGGCTGATTCATTTCTACCTTCTCCTCTCTGTCAACGCTCTCTGGTTTCATTTAAACGAGTCGATCATCAGATATTGTCCAAGATTAACCTTCAGGGTGGATATAGCTCGCTAGCAGCCTCACACCGATGACCTATCCATGTCATCATTTACCCAGAATGCTTTGTGTGTAAATAAAATGGCCCTGTCCGTGTAACATATTTTTCAACTTTTAGTTTAAAAATGATAAAAACTAAACATCCTACGGTATTTTTACAGTCTTTATTTTACAGCTGAAATATGTGTTTTTTTAAATAAAGTCTAATGTTACAACTAGTCGGGGATCCCTTTAAAATGATTTTGAGCAGCTGTCTCTTTAAAAGCCTTTATATTACAGTAAATAGTACAGTACAGTACAGTAAATGTTTATACTTGGATGTCAAAAAGGGCTGAAAATTGATTGGTAATCCTGAAAAGCTAAGTCTGGAATAAGTATTATCATTTTTTTAACAGGAAAGGTATTTAGGTACCATGAAATTACCTTTAGACATCCCAGTTTTTTTTTTTTTTGTGTGTTGTATGATGTATAGACTGGTTCAATACATCCTTAAGTATTTTCCTTATAGTGTTTTGACCCTCCATTATGATTTCACATGGATATAAGTGTCTCGCAGTTTGTGCTTTTCTCCACTGACATTATTTGGAGCCCACACATTCCTCCTCATCGATTCTTAAGAATAAACATTCTTTTGCCCGATTAAGAGTGTTGTGGCAGCAATATGTGCCAGCCGTATGGCCAAAAATATACTCCGATTAGTCATGGTGTGTTTGTACTCTATGTACTACCATATTCACACCCACAGTGACGTTTTGTTCTCCTGGAACCAGGCTGTGCCTGTTTATTATTAGCCTCTGTGTGCGTGCCTATATGTACGTCTGTGTTTTGTTTCGTTCTAGGAACGGATTTGTTTCAAAGCGTGGGTCATGAATAACGAGAGTTCACGTAGGGGGAAACTGAAAGGTTGGGGGTGGCCTTTTTATAGCTGAGATGCTTTTGTAATTGTACCCTCTCCAAGAAAAATAATACATGTTATCAGGAGGCAAGAATCTTGACATTAGTGTGGGATTTCTTAAAGCTCATTTAGCTTTCAACTTCAAATTATTGCAGTTAATGATGTGGCTTAGTGTCAACTTAAAGGTTGTAAAAGTTGTGAATAGTACGTAGTTGGATAAAAAATGCTGATAATGTGTTAGTTCCAATATTTATTGTTTATAAGAAAAAAAATCTTTTGATCAGAACCTGTGACACCCACTGATCGCCCACAACATTCAAACCAAGTGAAGAACACTTGATTCCATTATAGCTGCATCTTGCACAAGATGTGATATGTTAGCAAGCACGTGTTGTGTAATATGGAAAATGGAATATTACAACAGTTAAACGTCTGGGGTCCTGAAAATGAGACATAAAACCAACAGATTAGAGGAAGTTAAAAGATCTGTTGGTGATGTTTAAGTACCAGATAGCAGATGGACACTGATAATTTGAGGGTGCTGAAAACATGAAAATATGCAGATTGGTTTTAATGTTGTGGCAAATTGATATATGCATTTTACATAATAATTACAGTTGGAACTACTTCACTTTTTGCAGTTATTTAGCCTTTCAGCATCATAAAACAATGGGCATTTTACATTGTTACATATTTTTGTTGTACTCATCAGGTTAACAACTGCGTATATATGACTTGGTAAATCCTTTTTTAGATGTAAAATTAAAATTCAAACCAATACTAGATTACATTATGAATGCTTGCATACTTTTGACCTTTCATTGAGATAAAAAAAATGCTGCCAGTCTTGGAAAAGTTTGAGTGTCTGTATATTACTTACTCCTTTGCATCAGACGGAGGTAGCACAGTGATGCTACAGTTTGAAAAGCTGGTTTGGTTGAGCATTTCAGGGCTTAGTCCCCCTGAATGTAGTCATTTTGGCAGACACGGTCCAAGTTAATCCCTCTCATATTCCTAAAAGCTTTGTCAGGTATGTGAGCAATCATGCTCCTGGTTATCAGTCAGAGTTTCCCAGCATCCACTGGGGTTACTCCAGACTGGAGGATTTATTAAAGAGCAGAGGTTAATAGCCAAACGTTTGCTGGCTGCAATGGCACATTTTGCTAATTTGTAGATAATGTGGCATCATTCCAAGTTCCTAAGGCATATTTCAGTGGTTCAGTGTGCTTCTATTACATGACAAAATGTGAAGAAAAAAGAACCTGGTAAAAGAAGTGTTACTGCAGAAATTCAGAGGATAGTGGGCTTGTGCTATCCTTTGATTCAGACACATATCTCCCTCATTTCATCTGCTTTTTACGTGTCATTTCGAGTGCTAGCGTTTCCTGTATCTTGTATGACTCAGATCACAGCAGCTGAAATATGCAGAAAGCTGTGCACACACATATGTGAAGGTGCTTAACTCTGTGAACTGTCTGGCATATTAAGTGAATATTCAGGTAGATGGGCATAAAAGACAAATGGCTTGTAATAATGACAGCAAAACTACATATATTTGGTGAACCACGGAGCTGTTTTCTTCTAATAATTTTCCAACTCTCTCACACCACCACTGTTTTCCTGTACCTCCCAGGACCGCTCGTGTCTCCACACTCACTGCCAAACAATCTGGACAGCAACAAGGCCGTGGAAAGGAGGCCGTCCAAAGTAGGGGTCAGTAGAGAAAGCAGCAGTGTGGACTTCAGCAAGGTAACCTAACTACAGTACTGAGCACAGACACAGTCCTTCATGGTGGAATGGCCCAAGATCATCTGTGTTTTTCTTCCGTTTCTGGGCTTTCACTGACATTTCAGCATCTTGTGTTGGAAAAAAGTCACCAATCAAACATCACATATTCCTTTCGTCTCAGCTCAGTGAAAGGCAAATTTGCTCCTCCTTTAATGGACAAAGAATTAATCATCGAATAAACAAAACTGTAGGTGGTTATGTAATGGTTTAGTTTTAAAATGTCCACCTCCATTGCATGACTTCCATTCACTCCCCTGTTTTGTAGTGTATCATCCTCTAACTAAAATGGCACACTGCCAATAGTTGCTGTTATAAAACCAGTCATTATGCCTGCCAAAAATAGGGAGCAGTTTGTATATGAGTCAAAGAATACAGCAGGGTAGAGGCATACTTGTTCCTGCACAGGCATTGCATTAGTATTTAGTAACAACAGATATTTACTTGGAGAATAGGATAAGATTTGGTTCACAACAATGGACTATCTTTGCTCAGCACTATTTAGTTGTATGTGTTCCTACTGAAACTCCTTAGGTTTGTTGCCAATCCCCGTTTTACCATTGTTTCATATCTTTTTGCATGGGTTTGTGTCTGCATGTAGTGGTCTGCTCTTTTTTGTTTTCTCTGCCACAACTTCCTCGTTCTCTACTTTTTAAAAAAAAAATTTTACTTTTTGTTTGCTTTTATATGAATCCAAAATACATTATGGATTTCAGGTGGACATGAATTTCATGAGAAAGATTCCTCCGGGCGCTGAGGCCTCTAACGTGCTTGTGGGCGAAGTGGACTTTTTGGAGAAGCCCATAATTGCATTTGTACGATTGTCTCCGGCAGTCCTTATCACAGGCCTCACTGAGGTGCCCGTTCCCACAAGGTACGGTAATCTCAAATTGCACGACTTTACTTTTAAAATTAGGTGTCCAGTAAAAGTCACTTAAGTAATTACACTCTGGAAGCAAACGGGCAAAGTCATTTGTAAAAGTTATGATTGCATTTGACTTATTTAGCCTGGGGATTTACCAATGTTTTTTTTTTCATAACTCTGTTTCTTTTGCTTAAATTCAATAAAAGTGAGAAAAGATGTGGTGTATGGTGCTTTGCCACATAAATAGTTGATGTGTTAAATTAATGTCTTTTGCAAAGGTTTCTTTTCCTCCTTTTGGGCCCTCATGGTAAAGGACCACAGTACCATGAAATTGGCAGATCTATGGCAACACTAATGACAGATGAGGTGAGAGATGACTGATTCTTCAAGTCCTACTTTTTCCATTTTAAACCACTTTAAGTCTTAAAGTTCATTACAGCTAAGTTTGGATGTTTATTCACCGTTTAGATTTTTCATGATGTTGCTTACAAAGCCAAAGATCGAACAGATCTACTATCTGGGATAGATGAGTTCCTCGATCAGGTGACTGTCCTGCCCCCTGGAGAATGGGACCCCACAATCCGAATTGAGCCCCCGAAAAATGTCCCATCTCAGGTTAGCAAGTCTCTCTTTTGACGTTTTGGTCAGGATTCCTTTGTGAATAATATCTGATTGTATGTCTTTGATTTGGTTGGTTGAGAATTGATTTGCAGACAAATCAGTGTCCAGTAGACACTTCCTACAAGCTGATAAAAGCGAGATTAGAACGGCTGCTACTTATCAATAGATTCATCGTTGAACGCTGCCTTGCCAGATTTCACTAACAACTCTTCCTCCATACATGTTTTATTTGCATGTCTTTTGACCTTTAGTCAAAGAGAAAGAGACCACCCCAGCCTAATGGCTCTGCAGCTTCAGATGGAGAGCAGGAAAAAGGGGATGACCACCATGCAGGACCAGAGCTTCAAAGGACTGGGAGGTTGAGTATAGTACACTTTCATGGTCCAAATTTACACTCAAAAATGTGATTTCTGTTCATTTATAACCTTATCGTTTTATTTAAATGAAAACATTAGTTAAATTGACAAAAATGCCAAAGGTAGCATTAGCAGGCATAAAAAAATGTGATTTTGTTGCCATGTAAGGGGTGATTAAATAGGCATGAATCCAAACAAAAAGTGGATGATTCCAGTTGAATAGAAAGATGGAGGTCTTGTTATTGTTTAGGACTACATTTTAGCCAGTGATGTTGAGAGGTTTGACAAAATTGTTGGACTTATATCTGCAGAAAAGTACTTTTTTAACCAACATTACCTTTGTGTAAGAGCAGAGGGTCAAAATGGATCCAGTTAAAGATGACAAATTCAGATTTAGAAAATCAAATACTTTTTTGTAGCCAGTAATAAGTAAGTCAATAACTTCCAAATTAAAAAAAATAACTAATTTGTCACTACTTTTCAATCAACAGGTTTTAAATAAATGCAACCTAAGACACAAAGCAAGCCAGGCAACACTACAGCTGAGTGTTCATCTTTGACATTGTACATTAATTATCTTTTATGTGCTTTTAATGATTTTATGATTCCTCATTAAATAACAGCAGAACAGATAAAACAAACTGCTTCATTCTAAAATTATATAAAAACATATTTAGCAAAGTAATTAGATATTAATTGAATCAGGTTTATAATTGATGTTTTTGTTGCTGATTTTTGCTTTTGTTAGATATTGAATCAAACATTTTTTCAACCCAACATTACCATTGTTTGAGCAAATAAATGGCTGTGCTTTGTGCTTATAAGCTGCTGACATTGGTAGTGAACTGATGGCGAGTCTCTAGAGCCAGAGCCAGCAGCAAGGAGAAAGTGTTTATTTGAAACGTCACACAAATGCACACGGCCTGCGCACACACACACATCTATTGGGAGGCACTGTATTATTTACAGAATCCCACTCCTTACTATAAAAGGTTTTGCGCTATGAGGGGAGCTACTGGAGGAGGGTTGGGTGAATTGGAGAGCAGGAAGTGAATGTAAAGAGAGCTTTTGAAAACACGTGCTTCACAAAAGAGACAGCAGGGGGATGTGAAGGCGGGCTATAGACATTTCTCCAGAGGGGTGTGTGTGTGGGGGGAGAAGAAAATTAAAAAGGACCTCACAGCTGAGCTGTTGGGTAGGTGTAAAAACATATTCCAGGTGAGAAATGAATATGAGAAATAGAACCCCAGAAAGGCAAAATGAAAAGAAACACAGAGATTTGCAAGGTTAACAGTCAGATTTTTATCTGTTTATTATTAACCCATTAATCATATAAAAACATCACAATAGAACTATTCAGTACCACTTTGATGCAAGAAAGAAAGGCAGCTGCTTTAACTGTGATCCTAATTTTGGTCTGTCGTGTCTTCTGATCTTGGTTATTCATGCAAAAGGAAGAAAAAGACTCTTCAGCATGAAGAGAGTTAAGCTTCTCTATTAAACACTCTTCAGGCCTAAAAATACATGATAAAAATCACCTCCTTTGATCTGTAATGATATGTTGCAGTACTATTTGAGCAATTCCAAACACAACGTGCTTCTTTCCTCCTCCAGGATTTTTGGAGGTTTGGTTCTGGATGTGAAGCGGAAAGCACCCTTCTACTGGAGCGACATTAGGGACTCACTCAGTCTTCAGTGTCTGGCCTCGATCCTTTTCCTGTACTGCGCCTGCATGTCCCCCGTCATCACATTCGGAGGTTTGCTCGGAGAGGCCACAAAAGGCAACATAGTGAGTTCTGAGGATCGGCACTGAAATGGCAATATTTGTGCTTTTTATGAACCTGGTGAGAATTAAACTCTAATCCCTCAGTTTCAGGATGTTTAGAGTGCAGACAAAAGGTTTGTTTCTAGAATGAGAATCACTATTATTCTCTAGAAACTCAGTCTAACTTGTGTGTCTGTATATATAAAAAAGCACCACCTATGTTAATAAGTAGCTGCACTGCTTCTAACTGTGAATTCCCTTCAGCTTTGGTCTAACAAAGGCTTCCCATGGTGTGTCTACGCATTAGTGTGTAGCATAGAAAATTAATTATTATCATTAAACTCAGTTTCCTACAGCTAAAGAGCAACCATCATTAAAACTACAAAATAAAGGGCTTGAACTCAAGAACCAATTAGACCTAAAATATTTCCATTATTCTACATGAGGAACCATAAAAATACCAATTTGTTAAAATCAGAGTTAAGATAAAATAATAGAGGAACAAACTAAATCTAAAGCAACTTGATCAAATAATTAAATGATATAGGACAGTAAATGCAAATGTACAATGTAATTTTATTAAAATGGGGGTATTATGTATTTTAAGGCACATAGTTCAATTCTATTCCACAATCAAGTATCTGTTACCTTCAGTTGTTATGAAAACACTGCATATATCAAAAATAAATGTGACTTTGCATCATAGCCTTTCAAAATGCCTTGAAATTGGCCTTTGTCTCTTTAAGAACTTCCTGCTGCTTCTGACTCTCCCACTTCAGCACGTCTTCCCAACAATGCTTTGAGGGAGGGGTGCGCTGTGGGGCAGGGAGGAGCTTTGTGTAAATAGGCAGCGCTTTGTACCACTACACGTTTAGGCAGCTCCACATGGCTCCCACAGGAGAGTCAAGGATTTCTCAAACGTTCATGAATGAGTCATAGCAACAGAATGGGTATGGTTTTGATGAGGGAATGACCAAAAAAAAAAGTCGATTTTGCATAATACCACCACTTTAAATGAACAAAATTGATAAATAGTTACATAGGCATGGAAATAAAATCATGTTTTCAAATGATCAACACATTCCAGTCTGTAATGTTTATCTTGCTACTGTTCAATATACTGTTGCTCCCCTCTCTTCTTCCTGTCCCTGCTGTTTATCCAGATGCCCTTACTGTTAGCACAGACACTGCCGGTCATCTGATGTGTGAAATGTGTCTAAGTAAACTCAGCAGTCAAGAGCTTCACCGAGATATGAATTCAGACAACTCAGTGGGGTGGAAACTTTGGAACAGTTTACTGAGGCACTCGAACGCAGCACACAGATTCTGTTTGATCCAAGCTCTGTTTTCTGGTTGGGGGGGCTCTCTTCCTCACCTCTCCTTTTTTTTCTTCTTCAGCTTTTCCCTCTCAATCCTCCTCGTTGCCGTTTCGCTTTCCCTGTTTTCCCTTTCTCATTCCCTCACTCCGTCCCTATCCTCTGTCTCCACAGAGTGCAATAGAATCTCTTTTTGGAGCATCACTGACAGGAGTGGCCTACTCCCTCTTTGCAGGCCAGCCCCTCACTATTCTTGGCAGCACGGGGCCTGTTTTAGTGTTTGAAAAGATCCTCTTCAAGTTCTGCAAGTGAGTGTGAAAATGCTGATATTACGACTACCAGGCCCTAAACTGCATGCATTTACCGTGTTTTGTTTGTCTTCCTTTCCCCAGTGATTACAGCTTGTCCTACCTGTCGCTGCGGACGAGCATCGGCCTGTGGACAGCCTTCCTCTGCATTGTGCTGGTGGCCACAGATGCGAGCTCGCTGGTCTGCTACATCACGCGCTTCACAGAGGAGGCTTTTGCAGCTCTCATCTGCATAATCTTCATCTATGAGGCCCTGGAGAAGCTCTTTCACCTTGGAGAATATTACCCTGTCAATATGCACAACAACTTAGAAAATCTCACCTTCTATTCGTGAGTGACGATGCTAAAATTATACTTTGAGTCTTTTGTTTTTAATCGTCTCACAAGTAAGACGCTTGCTTTTTTCTCTGATTGATTTGCTTTATTGATTCAACAGGAAAAGACTACTAAAAATCAAGCCTGACTCAGCATAATTGCTGTTTTACAGCAGGTTCCTGTTCTGCAGCACATAAAACACTCAGAATTACAGCATCACAATCACATCATTACACACCATAGACACAAAGACGAACAAGCATACCAAATTTCAAAAAGGCAGCATTTGCAAAATTGGGACGTCTAAATATGAGCACAACAAAAAGTGTCCAGCAGATGGCAGACAAGATTCTTCTTAAAGGGCTGTAGTTTTGAAATGGACTTTATGTTTTGAGGAATGTCATTCCATGCTTTAGTGTAAACATAGAAGAAAGACCTCTGGCCGTAACAGTTTTTAAAAGTTGGTAATATCAGTTGTCCTTTTGTAACAGATCTAGTTGAATGACCACTTCCAGAATTTGATTTGGGCAACAATGCACAGAGAGTTCCATAATTGGCACCTTGGAAGATCTGATAATATCCACGTATAATTTATTCTCAAATGTACAAAATTGTGCAAATGCATATTATATAGTATACTACTTTAAGTGATTTACATTATGAGAGAAAAACAGTATCTGTGGTTTAGATACTTATGAGCATCCACTTTAAAAGAAACTGAACATTTTTTTCTCCTGAGATGAAGGTGCAGACTTTACCTGTTTGCTTCTTTTGTCCCCAGGTGTCAGTGTTCTCCACCAGCCAACGCATCAGATTCACTAATGCAGAAGTGGAACCATTCCGGATACCCCAGCTCCGACTCGATCCCGTGGAGCAGCCTCAACGTCACGGTGAGATTGATTCAGGGTGACCTCTAGTGTAGAAAACAGCAATTACAACGTTAAGGACGGTACGCACAGACCAGACGCAGATATTACCTTGATGCTTACACTTATTTAAACAATTTATACTTATAAAGGATATTGACATTATTTTTGGAGGAGAAAAACGTGTTTACATCATGTATTAAATGCTTGCTGCATTAAAAACAAGATAGGAAACCATGCTTTCTTCACTGATTAATTTATCAATGTTTTGCTTCAGAAAATTCAAGAGAAAAATGGGTTTTCTAAAAAAATGTGACCGACACAGTCATTAAAGGCATATTATTGCTAATTAGTAACATAAACAAGTCAATCTTCAGTGAGAGGACTGCTTAAACACTGAAGAAAATCAGGGTCTGAAGTGTAATGATCTTCACCAAAAGTTACACCATATTATTTTACATGAAACATGAAAAGCTCATTAAGTCTTGCTTTTCTAAACATGAAAATAAATCTGAAAATGGCAAACATGAACATCCATCAACTGTCAGATCCAATCACGAGTCAGAGGGAAACTAGGAGAGGAATACGGGTTCATTTAAGATCTGGAAATCATTCAAGGTCAACAGACTGGTGAACGTTGATTTTATGTAAACCACTTCTGTGTAACACCAGCTGTTAATTATAATGATTTATTCAAGGACACAAAAACGTCTTTCATAGCTGCAGACACTTTGGCTGAACTAAATCCATGACTGACATATCAAAACACTTTAATTTTATTTTTAGTCCATATAAAACAAATGAAACATCAACAATAAGATTTGACTCTTTTTATTGTTTCCAGATGTGTAACTTCTTTCATGGGGAGTTTGTTGGACCTGCCTGTGGTCACCATGGACCCTACATCCCCGATGTTCTCTTTTGGTCCATTATCCTCTTCTTCACCACCTTCTTTTTATCTTCCTTCCTCAAGCAATTTAAGACAGAAAGATACTTCCCCACCAAGGTGAACCATTTTAAATAGATAATATCCATAATACACATCAGAGTATTGAAGTAACGCCGATAAAAACAATTGAAGATTGATGTATTTAAAACTTCTTCTGTCTGTAAATGTTTACATTGCACCAGTCATTAGTATGCGTTAAGCAGCCTCATGCACAGAAGGAAGAGCTTCTTCTCTCCTCCCACACACTAACAGTTAGTTTAAAATTTGCTGTAGGCAGATGTTCATTTTGTGATTTTTACAGCTGACACAGATAAAATCATTTATTTGGTGGCTCTACAGAACTAACATGGTTTTAGTGAAGTTCCTGTCACATATAATGTTGTGTAGGAAAGTTAAAAAGATGTAATTTTGCGTGTTTGTGTTTCTGTGCTGTAGGTGCGCTCCACTATCAGTGATTTTGCTGTGTTTATAACCATCATGATTATGGTGCTGGTGGATTTTCTGATGGGAATCCCAAGTCCTAAACTGAATGTTCCTGACCGCTTTGAGGTGGGCACGTGGTTTCAAATGTTTCTGTTTTACTGCATATTATCTGTAAACAAGTTTTCTCAAGCAACTGTTTTCTTATATACAATTTGCGAAACGTGCTTTTCCCTCTTTCCATGCAGCCAACTTCAAAGAACAGAGGCTGGCTGATGGATCCGTTAGGAGAAAATCCCTGGTGGACGCTGCTGGTGGCGGCACTTCCTGCTTTGCTCTGCACCATCCTCATCTTTATGGACCAGCAGATCACTGCAGTCATCATCAATCGCAAAGAGCACAAATTAAAGGTTGGATTTAATTCAAGCTTTAAGTTTTTTTTTGATGCACATAACCTTAAACTTACAGCAACTAAGCTAAAGAAAACACTGAGTAACTTTGTCTCAGAACTCTGTACTAAATACGTGCAAAATTATTTGATTGGATTGAAATATATTTGGGATAAATAATCTGTATGTATCATTTATATGGGCACAATCTGATTACAATGACAGTTTACATGCAACCGACTTCTTTTCTGAATAGAAGTATTGAACAGAGTTGTAAACTTTCCCCCCCAAAAAAAACCACAGAAGAAAGTTCTATATAAACCACCCCTTTCATTTGGATTTCATATTAATTTTGATCAAGCTGACTGTATTTTTATTCCCATTGGCCGATTACTTATTTTTGTAAACATTGCTAATGTTCATGTCAAATTTTCAGTTTTGCTTGTTTTTCTGTATATCTTACAGAAAGGCTGTGGCTATCACCTGGACTTGCTGATTGTGTCAGTAATGCTGGGCGTGTGCTCCATTATGGGCTTGCCGTGGTTCGTGGCCGCGACCGTCCTGTCGATTTCCCATGTCAACAGCCTGAAGGTGGAGTCCGGCTGCTCAGCACCGGGGGAGCAGCCCAAGTTTCTGGGCATTCGGGAGCAGCGGGTCACTGGGTTCATGATTTTTGTTCTCATGGGTTGCTCTGTTTTCATGACATCAGTACTAAAGGTAAGAAAGACATTATTAGATGGATGTTCTCAGTTGAGAGTATTCAGGCATTTGTTTTTGTTTTGTAAAAGTGCCACGCGAGCTCTAAATAAGTTGCACTTTACTTTTTTTTCTCTTTCCAGTTTATTCCAATGCCTGTTCTGTATGGAGTCTTTCTCTACATGGGTGTCTCTTCCCTCAAAGGCATTCAAGTAAGAGTCTGCTCTGCCTGCCTTTGAAGATAATAAACCCTTTAAACCAAAGCAGAACAGCAGTCATGAGTTGTTATTAAAACTGTGTTTGCCTCCTGAACTTCAAAAACCTTTGATAGCAACTCAGAATCCATGAAAGCTTTTAAATTTTTTCCTCTGTCTGATTAACATATTGTCTTTTACCCTGTTGTCATCACTCTTTGTAGTGCTTTTCATTTGCAACTTTCTCTTTTAGTTCTTTGACAGGATCAAGCTGTTTGGTATGCCTGCAAAGCACCAGCCTGATCTGATCTACCTGCGCTACGTTCCGCTGTGGAAGGTTCATATCTTCACTCTGGTGCAGCTCACCTGTTTGGTTTTGCTCTGGGTAATCAAGGCCTCTGCAGCAGCCGTTGTATTCCCCATGATGGTAATGAATTCTGATCGTTTTATGTGGTTTCAGCTATAAGGATTGTTTTTTTTATGCATATTTATTTTTCGGTTTTGGCCCCAGGTTCTGGCACTGGCCTTTATCCGAAAGCTTCTGGATCTTTTCTTTACTAAGAGAGAGTTGAGCTGGCTCGATGACCTGATGCCAGAAAGCAAAAAGAAAACAGAAGATGACAAAAAACTTAAAGCACAAAAGCTGGTAAACACTTTGTTTTTCTTTATACATGTATAAGTATGTGGGGTGGGGGGCTGTGGTAGTGTGATAGTCAGTGCTGCAGTCTTACAACAAAGTTACTTTAGTTTAGTTTAGGTTTTTTTTTTAATCGGACCACTCATTCAGTAATCCAATCTATTTTTTATCATCTGAAGCTTATAAAGGAAAGGATTATCTTCTGCATAATGCCCGTGAGAGGGTTATTCATGCTTTTATCACTTCTAGACTGGACTACTGCAGCTCCCTTTATTGTGGGATTGATCAGTCATTGGTACATCATCTACAGCGGGTTCAGAATTCAGCTTCCTGTTTACTAACAGAGACAAGACGACATCAACATATCACTCCGATCTTGTATTTTCTTCACTGGTTTGCCTGTTTCTTTTGGAATAGCTTTTGCTTTTTAAATGTCTAAATGGTCTGGCACCTCCTTATCTTACTGAGCTTTTACAGCCTCACATTCCGAGTAGATCTATAAGATCTATAGCTCGAAAGCTTTTAGTTGTTCCCAGGTCTTGGCTTGTGACCAGGGGAACCTTTTCAGTCACAGGTCCTAGGCTCTGGAACAACTTTCCTCTGTCTGTGAGGTCTGCTGGGTCTCTAAATGATTTTAACCCCCAATTTACACTACATGCATTCCAGCTCCGCTTCGCTCCGGTCCAACCTCCGCAGCTGTAGTGGTCACCCTGGGTGGAATAAACGTTCCACCTGCCTTTGAACTTGACCACGGAAGGCCTCCTTTAAAGAACAGAACTCTGTTCATTTTTTATGGTCATAACATGTTTTCTTAAACAATTAAGGGACATTTTATTTCATTTTATTCTCTATAGTCAAGATAATAAACAAAATAGTAATGTTCTTTATATGTTTTGACTTTACATATTTTACTTAAGCAAAAGTTATTTCTTAGTTAAATTTATCATTTTATAGTTAAAGTTCTATGCTTAACTGAATGTCAAGTTATGTTCTTCTCACTATAACCAGAGAAAAGAAGAAAATCACAAAATATATCATTTTAATGTTTATTTTGTGTATGTTAATCAACCATTATTTGAATATAAGGTGATTATGTTTTTCTATTTTTGATTCACTATAAAAGTGTATGATTTTCTAATTATGCCTAACAGAGGTTGGTGTGAGAAGTTTCACTAAAAGCTGAGAGTTTACAGAAGCAGCTTTTGAGCATGTAAAACAGGTGGTGTTTTGTCTAGGAGGCAAACTTTCCCATGAGAACTTTAGACGCTCCTCTAACGTTCTGATTCACACATGTTAACACCAAGGTCGACCAGAGACGACTCTCTCTACCTCCCCTCTCTTATCTTTTCTATACTAACACGGGCGAAAGTCCGGCAGTCGTGTCTGGTCCAGGTCGACAGCCAGTTCAGTTCGAGCAGAGTCTGACGCGGGTCAGACTCGGGGAACTGTCTGGGCTCTCCCAGCAGAGAGCAGAACAGCGTGGTGAAGATTTTAGCTCATGAGCAAAAGAGCTAATCTTCCCACTAGCCTAACGACGACGCCAGTCGTGGGCCCCCAGCAACTCTCTTTGAAGTTGAGACTACAGAGAGACGCCTTTTGTTTTTAATCTGGAGAAGCCAAGCGACGGAGTGTCAGGTTGACACGGAACCGGACCGACCCAAAGATAATCAACTTCCTGGAAGTCGAGTCCAAAGTAGTCCTGAATGGTCCTAAGCGGGTCTCAGAGGTCTGAAACCTGGACACCTTCAAGCTTACCTGACTGACGTCTGAAAAGGTAAAGCTGAACGTTGGTTACAAAAGTGTCGGAGTCCTGGCTGTGTCACTAAAGATCGCTCCATCCTTCTGGCTCCTTACAGTATTGATAAGATAAAATCTAGTTCACTCTCCATAATAACCACTTTTCCTTCACTAAACTTAACTTTTACTTCACTCTTACTAAGAATTTGCCTCAATTAGGTTTATTTAACATCAAAGAACCTTGTTGTGTCATATAAGTTGTCAAATTAACGAGATTTAACCCTTTTTAAGTGTTAATGGTTGGTTATTCAACTTATGTAAAACCCTTTATCCATCTTCCAATGAGTTTGTATGTAAATAATTGTTTTGTAAAATAAATATCATTTATTTTTAGATAAACTTTATTGACTACGATACTCATTGTCAAAGTCTTGGTCATAATAAAGGTGATGGTTATTATTATTAGTATTTAAAATCGAAAAGAACCCGTTTCCTCATATATTAACTATATTAATATTAGTCGATATTAATTAGGTTAAATATGAGAAGTTATGTTGGGGTATCTCCTACACAGCAAATACGCACCCATTATAATCAATGAGAGTGTTTACACTGGCTGCGGTGAGCGGACGGCGATCCGGCAAAATTAGAACAGATCCTATTTCTGCCGGACGTCGGAGCTGCGCCGGAGCTGCGCCGGAGTCAAGTTTTAAAGATTACGTCGCACCAACAGGAAAAGAAACGAGCACAACGTCCGTATTTTCAAAATAAGACACTTTTAGGCAGAATAATTTGTCGGAATAATGTCGAAATTGCAGCTATATTAATAAATATATGGATATATTTCTACACAACTGCTGTCAGAATGTATCGTTCTGTTTGGGAAGCAGATGGAAACATGTAAATGAAGCATATGTGTACACACACGATACAAGTGGATTTTATTTTGAAATCAGAAGTTTCAGAAAGACGACAGCGAGACAGTTTCAACATAAATACCAAAAAGCCTTAATATTAATGTTTTCAACTGTGTTTGGAGTTCGTCTTTCACAGAATTAATTATTTTTTGCTGTTATCACTGAATTTCTCGCGTGATCTCCTTCCTGCACACTCTGTCATACCGGAGCGGAGTGGACTCTGTATGAATTAAGACACAAACGAACAGCTGCGACCTGCGCACCGCAGCGCAGCGTAGTGGAGACGCATGTAGTATAAATCCGGGGTCAGTCTCATTTCAAAACTCCTCTTTTTAAACAGACGTTTGGGTCTTGTTCATTCTGTTAATCCTGTACTTTGTTTAAAGTTCTATAGTATATTTTATGTTCCTACAGAACACTTTGGTTTTTATTGTGCTTTATAAATAAAAGATGATGATGATGATGATGATGATTCAGGATTTAGAGGTCATCAAAGTCCTGCATTACATGCATAACACCATAAAAAGATCATGGAGCCCTGCAAACACAGAACGCGCCAAAATTCCTCAACAATGTTTCAAACCGAAGCAGAAAACAAACAAGATAAAGCATTTAGATAGATTCCAACATGATATGGGGCTCATCTGTTAACACTGTCTGTGTAGAACAATGCATGTATCCGAGTGCCTCCGTAATGAACACGTCAAAAACATAGATTCATCTCACTGTTACTGTTCAGGCAGTGAGCATACATGCTGTCATTAAAACGGTAAAAACCAGTGAAGATGTGTGATGAACACCTTAAATCTTTTTGTTTCCATTAGGAGGAAGATTCCGAGCTGCAGGAAGACGAGGACGTGGGAATGAAAGTCAGGTTTTCAGGTTCAACCCGGTACAGTATTTCAGGGAGGTGAGTGGTTCCCTCCATTGTTTAATTGACATTGTTCCAATTTTAGGGCTTAGAGTCTATTTCTCTTAAGATGTAACATCTACTGTGATGTGTTTCATCATTTGGAGGCTAAATACATTTTCTGATTGCCTAAAGTTCTTTATAAACCCCAAAAAAACAAATCTCCTGAAACATTATTTTTTAGATCTATGCTTCACATATATCCATAAATTTGAATGTTATTATGGTTTATATTTAAAATCACATTATCCTGTATGAGTTGAAATGGTCATTTGGACAGCTGTGTGTTGTTCTGTCCATCCTGAACAGATCATTCATAGGAGTAGTGACCCACAGCCTCCCAGTGGAAGGAGAGGTAGCAGGGTGTGTGTCTGATGTCAAACATCTGACCCAAACCACCGCCTGTTAACTCTGTTTACCCAAACTCAGAGAGCGGCCCACACTGTCATCTTTTAGCTACTGAAATAACAAAACTCTAACTTTAAAATCACATGGCTTTACTTTCTTTAACTCTAATTATGTGCTTAAATGTTTGTCCCGTCGATGTCTTCCTGTATTAACTTTTCAACAAATGAATGTTTGTTAAAGTGACAGCATTAACTTGATGTATTAACATTGAAAGCTCTTGTTGTGAGTCATGTTTTCTTTTTTTTTTCTTGTAAATTTATTTCAGTGTTTCATTTAAATGCATGCTCGTGTCTGCTTGTTTGAAGTCTTCCTGTTGATTTGACGTCCACCTGCCTGTCTTCTCTCTGTGTTCGTGTTTGCACTTTCGGCATGCAGTTCTGATTCTGACCCCTTGGTTGTAAATATCTCTGATGACATTGTCCAAACGGCAGTGTGGAAAGCAGTGAACTCGAGTGCAGAGTCTTGTGTCCAACATGTGAAGCGTAGTGACAGGTAGCTATGTCATGTCCTGGAGTCCCCTCCACCACCACCACCACCACAGAGACCAAACCCATTATCAGTAGGAGACCACTATATGTTTATAAAACTACAGGATTTTCATGCTTCAAAAAATATATATATAAAATAATAATTTAAGAATAAATGCAGCTTTTTGCGCTGAGTTTCAGTCAAAATTTTATCTTGTTTTTTTTAATATGATAAAGGTAATTCCAAGTATAATAAAGGAGACATATTCTGCTTTTAAACATTCTTTTTCACATTTAAATCATTCAATATATAAAGTTGAACTGCAATGCTTTGGTCTGAATTCATCCTTACTGTAACTCCACAAGCCCCGCCCCTTTTCTGAAGTGTGTCTACATGTGGTTACGTTAAACGTTTTTGGTCAGTCCTGTTAAAGTTATAAATAAACATAAACACGGTTACCTGCAGATGTAGTCAGCCTTTTTCTACAGTGGTTTGCAAAAGTATTCATACCCCTTGAACTTTTCCATATTTTGTCACATTACAACCACAAACATAAATATATTTCACTGGAATTTAAAAAATACCAACATGTTTTGTATAGATGAGGCAAATTTAAATTAAGACATTTAAAGAACCATTTTTTC